TGATCTTCATGTTTACATAATTAATGCGATGTTAATGTTAAATAAATCTCTGGATAACCAAAATTGAGATACAGTTCATTCTATTAGTAAACGATTCAAAGTCACAATAAATAAATGTATCGATAAAATCACTTAATTACCTCAAAATTGTATTCTACATACTGATGGTGTTTTTATTACTTGCTTACTGACTTACTTACTTTACGCCTGTTACCCCCAATGGAACATCGGCCGCCAACTAAGATTCTCCAACTCACTCTGACCTCAGCCTTCCTTTCTAATTCTATTCAACTGTTGTTCATTCTTCTCATGTCTGTCTCCATTTCTCGGTGCAATGTGTTCTTTGGCCCTAAGGATTCTATGTGAGGGCTTGCCATGAGGTGCAATTGGGTGCTTTCGTCAATCTATGTCCTATCCCCTTCCAGTGATTCTTTCTGGTTTCTTCCTCCACTGGAATCTGGTTTGTTCTCTCCAACAGTAGGTTGTTGCTGATTTGTTCGTGATTACCTTACCTTCCTTGCTTTTCACTGGTCATTCTGGTTTATGATAATTTCCAGCGAGTTTCTTTGTTGTGTCATATAGTTGTCTCATGTTTACTTCTCTTGCAGCCTTTTCCGCCGTTTGTCTGTCCTGATGCTCCTCTTCACTTGTTTGTTTACTTCTGTGTATTCAGCTTGTGCTTTGGCTTTTTCTGCTCTTGTTCGACTGGTATTGATTGCTGTTTTCTTGTTCCTCCTTTCTTGAATCTTATCCAGTGTATCAACAGTAATCCATTCCTTGTGGTGGCGCTTCTTGTGACCCAGAACCTCATGACATGTTGAAGTGATTGCCACTTTGATCCCCTTCCAGTTGCTCTCCACAGTAGTTCCTTCTCCACTGCGTAGATCATGAAAGGCCTGGAACCTATTGCTGAGGACTATCTTGAGTTTGTTGAATTTGTCAGTATCCCGAAGAAAAGCCGTATTGAACTTTTGTGATATTGTCCGCCTCGTTCTCCAGTACTTCTTGAGTTTCGATTTCATCTTGGTTACCAGCAAGTGATGATCTGATGCTATATCAGCTCTTGCTTCTCACATCCTCTATAGTCCTCCTGAACGTTTTGCTGATGCAAATATGGTCGATTTGGTTTTGCGTAGTGTGATCCGGTGAAATCCATGTGGTTTTGTGTATGCGTTCATGTGAGAATATGATACCGGCTTTGACCAGTTTATTGAAGGCACATAGATTTGCAAATCTCTCACCATTTTCGTTTCTTTCTCCCAGTCCGTGTCATCCCATGATGCCTTCATATCCCGTGTTGTCCACTCCAACTTTGGCATTGAAATCTCCTGTCAGAATAGTCAGGTCCTTTGTTGTGCACTTCTCGACAAATGACTGCAGCCTATTGTAGAATTGATCTTTAACGTCTTCATTGTAGTCGTTGGTAGGCACATAGCATTGGATGATGTTAATTTTAATGCATTCTTTCTTTGTTTTGAAGGAGGACTTGATGATACTTGGTCCATGAGATTCCCATCTTATAAGTGAATTTTGTGCTTGTTTGGATAGCATCAATGCAACTCCTTGTGTATGTGGAGCATTTTCTTCTTCATGGCCAGAGTATAACAGAAGTTCCCCTGAAGCTAGTCTTAAATATTCTTGTTTTTAACGTAAGAAATGATATGCTTGTATGGTAATCATCTGTTTGAACAGAATATACGTAGTTGTACTTTACTCTGAGAAATGCCCTCTCTTCTAAGATCTACATCAAATTGGTTTTCAGTTTGACAGCAAGTGTAAACTGAATAGAAACGAACGAAACTAAGGCAAAATTCAAAGATATGTAAATGGAATTAGTTGTAAATAAGTTAATCATGAGATGATGTTAGTAAGAAATCAATAAATGAAACATTTCAATTAGTCGATAATATAAATTGTACACTGACATTAAGATTTTGCCTAATTTTGTCCAAGGCTACCTTGGCTCAATGTATTGAAAGTTGGTTGATCACATTAGTGATTGATATATAACTCAACATATTTAGTTATATTGGTTAGTTTATTATCGATTTATTATTGATGCATAATAATTATTTATTAATACTGTTTACTTTCTTTCATCGAGTCATGTAGACACTACGATTAGTTATGTGTAAGAAGTAACAGCTAGTTTTCTTACAGTTATAACAAGTAGCCATATCAGTGTCATGTCAGGTTTTATGACAGAATCTACGTAATAACAATATATTGTGCTCACTGATTGTAAGCTTCATTGACAGAACAAAAGTAGAGAAAACTATTTCGATAATCTATCGAAATTTTCAGCTTTAGATAAAACGAACTAATGTACATTTTGTTGAGAATAATGTTCAAAAGTAGATCAACTAATATATGAGCTACTTTTAATTAGTTGACAATACCTACCAAGTTTCGTAAAGTGTGTTAGGAGGATAAACTTAATCATAGTGTTTATCTTCAAAATGCTGAAACGTATAAATAACATACAACTGCATTAGTGGATGCCGTTCACTCTTTCACATTACAACAAACACAAATAGTAATGTCAAACAGTTTAAATCATTAATCATTTATTCACTCACATTAATACGTTCTGTCAGTCAGACACAAATCATTTACAAATCTAATTGAAACTCAACTACGAGCAGATCCTATCACTTTATTACACAAAATGATGACCATCATTGATTTAATATCAAAAGGCGTTTTTTGTAGATATTATAGTAATATCAATAGTTGAGGTCATGTGTCAATTGAGGCTACACCACCATGGAAAACCTGGAAGTACTGAACTGTCGTCTCATCCTATTGTGGCACTCCTCAGTGGTGCAGAGGTTAAGCGTTCGCATACTAGATCGGCAGATCCTGGGTTCGAATCTCGCGAGGCGGGAGTGTGCATGCGCACTGCTGTGGAGTCCCACAATAGGATGAAACGGCCGTACAGTGCTTACACGTTTTCCATGGTGGTCTAGATTCAATTGACACACGATATCAACTATTTAAATCATTGATTTATGTAACAGTCAACAATGTGAATATAACACATAATCACTATGTACACATGTCCTTAACATGAACTATATTTTCTATCCTCTAATTTAAAGGTGAAGAATTCAAACTTGTTAGTTATAGTGATAGAATAAACATGAATATTCCAGTAACCTGGAGAATATCGATTATTTTCTCTGCATTCAACCAACTCTTCATCATGATAGATTTGATCAGATTTCTCTGGATGAATAGTTCACTTAATCAGTGTGCGTTAATTTCTAATATGTTTCTATTCACACAATGTATTTAGAAGAGTTGAAATGGTAAGCTATCACATCTAGTCAAATACCAGTTGTGTGATTCGTCAAGCGAGCCTGTGACAATGAATGAATGATCGAAATTTCGTCTCTATCACATTACTCAATCATCATCAGTTGAAGTAACTAACTAACTAACTATAATCACCGAATATCACAGTTGATCAGTTGAATACTAACCACTCATTCAATCTCAGTTCGAATGACTGATTGAGTGCAAGTTCACTCAGTCCATAATTCAGTGTAATTGCACATTGTCACGCTGTTGGCAGATCACATTGCGACTGAGTTCTCAACTGATATCTCGTACTAAGTCAAATCAACCTCCAAATCAAATACACTCTCCAGTGTTCACACACTGCATTTTCACAAACTACAAACATTCATCCTCTTCATACTGAGCTTGAAATTACTACCGTCTGTCGTCAACTAGTACATTCACATTCAATGTTACTCTCGAACCGGATACTGCCAACTGTGAATACTCAACTCGAGGTGGTGAATTCACAGGATTTGATGGTCAGTTTAGTGACTGGATTCATATCGATTGTATTTGTGAATGATGTGAATTGAGTAGATGATGTGTTGGTAATTCATTGCACAATACGAGTGACATTGACTTCCATTTATCATTGTGTACAGATCTGTGAAACTTGGAAATAGGTGATACGGTTAAATAATTGATACATGATCAGTATATTAAGGAACTCAGACTCATTGGTTTCGATAGTCACGCGGACCTCATCCCAACCAAGTGGCCTCCATCTACCAACATGGCTCAGACCACAAGTTAGTGACATTATGGCTTTATGTCATGTTTTGGTTTGACTGCCTCTCACTTTCTTCCAACTACTCCCTACACTAGCCAGCATTGCGCGTCGTAGCGATCAGTGTTCAGGTCTTCGTAACACATGGCCTAACCATCTCAGTCGATGAACATTCACAACCTCATCAACTGATTTACCATCATTCCGGATTATCCAGTGTCTAACCTCACTATTACATACCCGGTGATCCCAGCAGATGCTGGAAATATTTTTAAGACATCTATGGTCAAACACTAGTAGCTTACGGGTATCGTTTACTCTTAATGGCCACGTTTCGCAGCCATCAAGTAGAACATAACGAAAGTCTGCACAGTATACTCGTTTCTTAATTGATAGACGGATATCTCGCCTTCTTCATAGGTGACGTTAGTTAGCAAAGGACAAATGAATTTTCGTCAGACACCAACCCATTAAAGCTGATCAGACTTCCAAGATAAGCACTCAAGACCTCTGTATTCAACCTCCCTCTTCAATTCCTATTATTCTTTATACTAGTGTGATTATTGTGAGTAGTATTATTAGTAATCATTTTACGTTGAAATGGTAGTAATGATTGTAATAATACAATAGTTTTGGACAAAATATATCGGTTAAACATCATGAGATGACTTAATGTTTCACATTAATCAAAATGTCATAAAATATTGGAACTAATCAAGTATAAAAATTCATTTATGTTTTTATGTAAATTAAGAAGTAGAGTATTATCCAGTTCCACATTCATAAAGAAACGTTTAGTTTTGATCTATTGGGAGGCAGGTATTTAACAAATTAATAAGTTTCATCTAAATGTAATTAATTTTAGAAGTAAACTTTATGTTTAAGATAATTGTATCATTTTGAATCGTATTCTAAATCATGAAATGATATGTTAAATTTTGATGACGATGATTTGGATGATGATGATGATGATGATTTGGATGATGATGATGATGATGATGATGATGATGATGATGATGATGATTTGGATGATGATGATGATGATGATGATGATGATGATGATGATGATGATGATGATGATGATGATGATGATGATGATGATGATGATGATGATGATGATGATGATGATGATGATGATGATGATGATGATGATGATGATGATGATGATGATGATGATGATGATGATGATGATGATGATGATGATGATGATGATGATGATGATGATGATGATGATGATGATGATGATGATGATGATGATGATGATGATGATGATGATGATGATGATGATGATGATGATGATGATGATGATGATGATGATGATGATGATGATGATGATGATGATGATGATGATGATGATGATGATGATGATGATGATGATGATGATGATGATGATGATGATGATGATGATGATGATGATGATGATGATGATGATGATGATGATGATGATGATGATGATGATGATGATGATGATGATGATGATGATGATGATGATGATGATGATGATGATGATGATGATGATGATGATGATGATGATGATGATGATGATGATGATGATGATGATGATGATGATGATGATGATGATGATGATGATGATGATGATGATGATGATGATGATGATGATGATGATGATGATGATGATGATGATGATGATGATGATGATGATGATGATGATGATGATGATGATGATGATGATGATGATGATGATGATGATGATGATGATGATGATGATGATGATGATGATGATGATGATGATGATGATGATGATGATGATGATGATGATGATGATGATGATGATGATGATGATGATGATGATGATGATGATGATGATGATGATGATGATGATGATGATGATGATGATGATGATGATGATGATGATGATGATGATGATGATGATGATGATGATGATGATGATGATGATGATGATGATGATGATGATGATGATGATGATGATGATGATGATGATGATGATGATGATGATGATGATGATGATGATGATGATGATGATGATGATGATGATGATGATGATGATGATGATGATGATGATGATGATGATGATGATGATGATGATGATGATGATGATGATGATGATGATGATGATGATGATGATGATGATGATGATGATGATGATGATGATGATGATGATGATGATGATGATGATGATGATGATGATGATGATGATGATGATGATGATGATGATGATGATGATGATGATGATGATGATGATGATGATGATGATGATGATGATGATGATGATGATGATGATGATGATGATGATGATGATGATGATGATGATGATGATGATGATGATGATGATGATTATGATGATGATGAGTTAATAGTCACAAAGCATATGTATTTTTTATTATGTTCAATCTACGTTTTGAGTTATAAGTCATTGTTGGAAACCTGTGAGATGTGAAATATCGAATTATAACTTTTTAACTAAATGTTTACATAGGTCTTTTTGTAACCAACTTTAAAGATATTTTCTGTAAATTGCAAATCTAAATCTTATGATATGTTTTTCTTTTCAAAATTTCTGTTGTAGTTTGAAGCAAAGGTTGAGGATATTTTCTTCTGAAAGAACTTTCCCATTTCTCAAGGACATTAGTGTTTGGAATGTGTAATTACCTGGTGAAATTGGCACTTTTGAATTTCTGATATTGTAACTTGTGTTTACTGAGTATATTGCTGATTATCTGTTGTGCTAGTGGAATTTAATCGAATTAGTTGATGGATCAGTTCATTAAATGAAATGCAGAAAATATTAGTAAATTGAAACTGCTTTAATTCGTTTTCTGTGTGTATTGAAGTCTTTATTAGTTACTCATACTGTTTTTCTTGTGATCAGGCATATGAGTATTTGATACGGTATAACAGTTTGTACAATAAGACGAATCATCATCCATCAGAATACATAACATGAATTGAAAAGTCTATATTTAACGTTAGTCATCAAAACCAATTTTTCTGGTTAGCGTTTTTTTAGCGAGTTAGTTTTCTACGGGATGGGGACTCTAACCCATGCCCAACCCTCCTCCTTTATCCGGGCTTGGGACCGGCAGCAGCCCCTGGAGGGACTCCAGGCGGAGTTGGAACTAGAAAAGAAGGCCCAGTACAGAGTGGGTTGAAGAATGCTGGTCAGCGGCCTATGCTCCGTTGAGAGTAACAGGCGTAAGTAAGTAAGTAAGTATGAAAACCAATAAAATCTTTGGATTAGTCAGTTAAGGTAGGAAACAACTGCATCAATATGCCCAGAAACATTCTTGGAAATTATTCATAAAATCGAACAGAGAAATGTATGATGCTGAAATCAGATAACAATTAAGAATACGATCAGGTATACATAAACAAAATACTATGATCATTAATCATATTTGTTAATTATTTATCGGGATATCATTACCAGATCTGTAATGGTAACGAGATTACACCATATTCACAGAATCTAAAAACCGTTCAACAAAATGAGAATGTTGATATATATATATATATATATATCGTTCGCTGAAAAACATTCACGATCATACGTGAAATAGGTTCATTAGCACAAATTAGAATTTTTTAAAAAATGTCGTTAGATTGCCTGTAAAATCGTTCGAACAAATGGACTCACAAAGCAACATTTGACTCATACAGAAATCCATCAATACAAGCAGTCGTCACAAAGAAATTATGACCTAGTTACATGATGATCACAACAAATATTTTCTCAAAAGAAAGATAAAAAGCCGGCAAATCGAAAGACTTGTATTTCGTCATTTAGTCGGCAAGTGATTTACTTAGCAAGATATACAGTTTGGTAGATAGTCAATTATTACTCTGAAACATACAATTCATAATCAACTATACACGTCGAATGAATTGATCGGATTCTTGTACCCTAAAAATGAAAAACAACAGGCATTCAATCAGCATTCACAGCTTGGTTTAAAACATCGTAATCAAATTCATCTTACCTCCTTCTCACACACATCCTATGTCCTATAACTCGTCAGTTATCAAGTGACAAGATACACAATCACAACAACGAATTACACAACATTAACCATCTAGAAAATAAATGACGTCTGAAACACCATGAACAGTCGAGAATCAACTCTCAATATTCATCAATTATTCATACATCACTCTAACCAAAGAGCCACAACACAATCTCATCTACCACTGTATACATAATACATTTCAAACATATTCGATTTATATACAAGCAAACCAGAATGCATCACATCATACAATAGAATATATCAATCACAATAACAATCACATATGATCATGTGAAAAGTGGTTGTGAGTGTGAGCAACTGTAATGAATAGTTGTGAAATAGGTCAACATTGCTGAATCGTATCACAATGCCCCAATCGGTCAAATGAACTGATTTCAAATACATATAATCTAGCAACTACTGAATTATTAACCACAACAATATACATACATAAACAATTCCTAACAACGATTATTCATTTACTATATCTAAGTATACTACAACACAACACAGTTCCAATCCACAGAACGTCATGCTCAAAACTCAATTACATAATCAGAAATTATCATTTTGTTCATTTTACGAAGAAATAAAAATCCATTGAATTATATAGGCCAACCAAATTCGTCACATGATTCGATGAAAAAAAAAACATTTCTGAAAGGCAATTCAACTATACAAGCATTTCACGTGATCTCTAACGTCATTCGATTGCCACACCCATCATAGACGACCTTAACATTTCACTACGGATCGATCAGTTCCATTTTTGTTTACGTTAGTTATTAATCTAATATGTTCACAACACAAACTTATTCAATTTAATCGTGAATAGATAAATAAATATACAACTTCCAATCAGACAAATCACTAGTACGTGTCGAATATACAACCAATGAACAGAATTGTTAGACAATTCAATTATGTTCTCTCTAATCTCAATTAATAAATAGCCTGTTCAGAGTAAAATTATTTAGTAAACAGATGTAGAACGTGCGGTAATGGTGATGAGGAAAATCCATACGATCATGCATAAAAAAGTTGTGTAGTTTTTATAATATTTATATCGTACGACACGTAGTAAACAGTGGTATTAAACAAGTTAGTGATAAGTTACACAAATATCTGATTAAGAAACATTTGAATGCACGGGTTTCTGTAGTCTATACACATGTGGATTGATCGTATTGTTTGCGTAATCAGTGAATAACAAAATGTGACATGGTTACTGCCTTTTTCAAGCTGATGTAAAAGAGAAAGGTCGGACATGGTAAATGAGAGAGGTCGGACAAGGGTCGAGCAACTACACCCGTAGAAAATAATATTGTTGAGAGAAACGCTAACCAGTAAAACCAACTTAAACCACTTAAGATCTGCTCTTGGAGTTGAAGGATCTTTATTTAGAAAGATTATGACACATCAAGGTGAAAGCCGAGATTCTTAGAAAGTCATAAGGCCGGTGCGTCGTCTTACAACCAGAGAATCATTTAATACAAGTACATGGAATGTTCGAATAGTGTGAAGATCAGGAGGAACAGTCAATTAACTGAAGAAATCAGGAGATACAACTTGGCGATTCTTGGAAATATGTTGTTTTCTACAAGTATTCCTGCTAGACCATTGCCCGACCTATCTCTTTTACATCAGCTTGAAAAAGGCAGTAACCATGTCACATTTTGTTATTCACTGATTACGCAAACAATACGATCAATCCACATGTGTATAGACTACAGAAACCCGTGCATTCAAATGTTTCTTAATCAGATATTTGTGTAACTTATCACTAACTTGTTTAATACCACTGTTTACTACGTGTCGTACGATATAAATATTATAAAAACTACACAACTTTTTTATGCATGATCGTATGGATTTTCCTCATCACCATTACCGCACGTTCTACATCTGTTTACTAAATAATTTTACTCTGAACAGGCTATTTATTAATTGAGATTAGAGAGAACATAATTGAATTGTCTAACAATTCTGTTCATTGGTTGTATATTCGACACGTACTAGTGATTTGTCTGATTGGAAGTTGTATATTTATTTATCTATTCACGATTAAATTGAATAAGTTTGTGTTGTGAACATATTAGATTAATAACTAACGTAAACAAAAATGGAACTGATCGATCCGTAGTGAAATGTTAAGGTCGTCTATGATGGGTGTGGCAATCGAATGACGTTAGAGATCACGTGAAATGCTTGTATAGTTGAATTGCCTTTCAGAAATGTTTTTTTTTTCATCGAATCATGTGACGAATTTGGTTGGCCTATATAATTCAATGGATTTTTATTTCTTCGTAAAATGAACAAAATGATAATTTCTGATTATGTAATTGAGTTTTGAGCATGACGTTCTGTGGATTGGAACTGTGTTGTGTTGTAGTATACTTAGATATAGTAAATGAATAATCGTTGTTAGGAATTGTTTATGTATGTATATTGTTGTGGTTAATAATTCAGTAGTTGCTAGATTATATGTATTTGAAATCAGTTCATTTGACCGATTGGGGCATTGTGATACGATTCAGCAATGTTGACCTATTTCACAACTATTCATTACAGTTGCTCACACTCACAACCACTTTTCACATGATCATATGTGATTGTTATTGTGATTGATATATTCTATTGTATGATGTGATGCATTCTGGTTTGCTTGTATATAAATCGAATATGTTTGAAATGTATTATGTATACAGTGGTAGATGAGATTGTGTTGTGGCTCTTTGGTTAGAGTGATGTATGAATAATTGATGAATATTGAGAGTTGATTCTCGACTGTTCATGGTGTTTCAGACGTCATTTATTTTCTAGATGGTTAATGTTGTGTAATTCGTTGTTGTGATTGTGTATCTTGTCACTTGATAACTGACGAGTTATAGGACATAGGATGTGTGTGAGAAGGAGGTAAGATGAATTTGATCTACATATTTGACATGTATAATTGATTTTCAACTGCATGTTTCAGAGTAGTTTCTTACTAACCTACTACGTAACTTACTGTCTGAGTGACTTTATCTTTAATTTACGGACTTTCTTATTGTCTATCTTCATATCGGATTGAATTTTTGCTGAATAATGGGTTAATTGATTTATTGTTTTTACGTTTTATTTTCCGATATATTAGAACTATTCGAAACGTATAATGTATATACATTTAATTTTTCAGACAAACTCAGTCTTCATAGCGTTCTATCGTAATATGTAAAAGCGACTAAGCGCTTGAAATATAACTTAATCAATTTGTTTCATCATTTTATGGTCTTATTGATTAAATGCGTCATAGACAGTATTCTGTGTAATTAATGTTCTACATTGATATTGCATGCAAATGGTCGTGAACGTTTACCTAGATCCATATCCTGTTCATCTTCATCTTTTAGTGTACTATTCTTGTGATTTTTTCTAGTGTGCACATTGTCCTAAATTATTTACGATTTGAGATTAGGGTGAATATGCTGGTGAAATATTTCAGTTATATACAACAAACATTTCTATCATGAATGGATCAGTGGTAGACCACCATTGAAAACCCGGAAGCACTGGATGACATTTTCATCCTTGCATGGGACTCCTCGTCATTTTTAAATGGTTGTTTAACATTAATCCATCCATGATATCAATCTAAATTCAACACTTTACACAACCCTATACTGATAATTATCATGCGCTCACTAGTGACTAGCTTCAAGATGGATTTTCTGGAGTTCTAGTGAGTTGCCTTGACCAGTGGAGTTCAACCGTGTTTGTTGTGATGCTGTTACTCACCGAAAACACTGGTCGACGGTCGCACAATATCGAGGATTGGTGAAAGTTAGACATTAACACCGTTAGATGCCGTCTCACTAGTCTAAAGGTTACTCGTTCGGGCGAGAGACTTAAGGTCGTGCGTTTAAGTCTCTTATGAGGGACCGTGGATGCACACTGCCGAGTATTCCCATACTGGGACGAAACAGCCGTCCAGCGCTTCCAAGTTTTCAGTGGTGCTATAACATTGATCCACTCATGATATCAATTTAAACTCAACAATCTCCACAACCTTATGCTGATAAACACTTTTATGATTTTGTGTTTTTAAAGTACAGCTTTGAAACATGTTGGGAGACATTCACCTTAAATTAATCCAGGGACATAATGTAAACAGTATGAAAATTGGATTTATGTACACTGATAATTTAAACCTTTATTCAACCTAAATTATTAATGAAAATGAATTTTTCATGAGAAATTAAATTGTCGCTTTATAATACACGTAATTTTAGGTGCATGAATTTATCAGTGCTGAAAACAGTTTCTGAACTGAGCTTTTGTTGCCTGAATTAATGATATGGTCTATTTAATAAGCACGATATTGTATCCATAGCTTTGTCCTCCATAAATATTATCAGAATGAGTTTTGTGGAGATTTTTAGTAAATTTCACAGGTTGAAATCATGAGTTAGTTGAAGCTAGACTACCATTGAAAACCTGGAAGTATTGAACGGCCGTTTCGTCCTAGTATGGGAAGTTAGACATTAACACCGTTGGGTGCCGGCTCAGTGGTCTAATGGTTAAGTGCTCGCGCGCGACGGCAGTAGGTCATGGGTTCAAATCTCGCAGGGGGCGGGTTTGTGGATGCGCACTGCTGAGGACTCCATAAATGTCTTCATGATGTACAAACAATGAATTGAACTTTTGATTGGAAATTCTCAAGAACTTGATGGATTGCGTCAGTTATATGTAGGTGAATATGTGCAAAGTTGAACGGATTGTTATTGCTTCATGATTATCTGGTGACACATTGAATAATAATTGAATGTGATTCTGTCACTATACCCAATCTCTATTTTTTATTTCATCTACTAGACTAAACCCCTTAAAGTTACTTATCATTTACGAATTGTGAAATAGTTATGTTAATGACAATCTAATGTGTTTGAGACAAGTGTAGTTAGAAAACAAAATGATGTACAATGAATAAAGTTATATGTATTCTAAAATTACTAAATAAAGAAAACTCGTTCAGGTTCTGGGTTAAATAAGAGATTTACATTTCATACTTTTATACATATTTTTATCAGTTGACGAATCAAAGAGCAGACTATGTGAATAATACTACTTATTCGTCAATTAAAATAAAACATTTGAACTGTTGAACTATATGACAATGGACTTGATAAGGTGTTCACATGATTATTCGATTCTAACGATAATGTTTGATATTCATTTAGTCGACTATTGAAGTTCATTATTAATTTTGGATATGAACTATGAAATATTGTTTATCTATAATTGTTACTTACGCCTGCAACACCTCGTCGAGGAGCAAAGGCCAACCACCAGCATTCTCCATTCAATTGTGTCCTGGACAATCCTTTTCATGTATGTATCCAATTTTCGGCAAAGTGTGTTCTTTGGTCTTTCTTTTTTCCATTTCCTTTCACCATTCCAAGTTACAGCTTGCCTCGTGATGCAGTTTGATGATTTCCTCAATGTAAGTCCTATCCACCTACAACGTCTTCTACTAAGTCCCTCTTCAGCTAGAATCTGGTTTGTTCTCTCCCACAGTAGGTTGTTGTTGATGGTATCCGGCCAAAGGACATTCAATATCTTACGTAGACAACTGTTTATAAATATTTGTACATTTTTAATAATGTTTGTGTTAGTTCTCCAAGGTTGACCTCCATGCAGTAGAACTATGTTGAGGTTCGTATTGAAGATTGTGACTGGATGTTGGTTTTCAGACAGTTGTTTAGAGTTGCATAGGTTCTCCAATTTCAAGAATGCTGCCCTCGATTTGCCGATCCTCGACTTTACGTCTGCATTGGATCCTCCATGTTCATCGATATTACTAATGCTCAGGTAAGTAAAGCTTTCTATCTCTTACAGAGCTTTCCCATCAAATGTGATTAGGTTGGTGTTAATTGTCTTATATTTCATGATATCGCTTTTTCATTTGTGTGTGTTGAAGCCTACTGATGTAGAGGCGTCTGTTACACTGGCTGTCTTCACTTGAATTTGTTGGTGTGTGTGGGATAAAAGTGGTACGTGATCTGAGAAGTTCAGATTATTATTATTATTATTATTATTATTATTATTATTATTAATCGCTTTGTTCAATATTATATTCTGGCACAATATAGAATTCTCAGCACAGGGTATTTCAACAAGTTACTGGCACAAAAAATACAGAAACAAAGAAAAAACAAAGGGAAAAAAAGGTTTTAGAAAAATCTGAAAAACTGTACAACTTTTCAAATTATAGACATGTTAAGAATGCAGGTTATTGACTAGGTTAACTCTAATAATCTATTTGCTAGGTAAGGTATTATAGAACTCTTGTACTTTTGCTTGCGTGCATGGATTTTAGTGTAATTATGTCTCGTTCTACCAGAAGATATACAAGGAGAAAGATATGAGTGAAGGGGTTGGTCAGTATCTGATAAAATAACACCTGCCAGGAGTTTGCATGACTCCAGATGTCTATCCACAACCATATTGATTATGACCTCGAAAGATTCACCACACACCTTGCTAACTGCCTTCAGCACTCTCCGCAATACAGCAAAGTCTTTTCTCAAAAGCCCGGGAAAGAATAAAGGAGAACAGTAAAGAATAATAGGTAATATGCAAGAATTGACAAATTGTAAGAGTAAATGACCAGTAATTCCAAGAGCATGCAATCTCTTTATGTAGTAAGTCAGACGGAAAACCTTCTTCGATAACAATAAAACGTCGGAAGACCAAGAGAGATTAGAGGAAAAGGTAACACCAAGATAATTGACCTTCAACACTGTGTTTATCGACGAGTCTCCAATGACACAAGCATTATGGGATCTCAAAATGGTGTTTAGATGCCGTTCATGTCTCATACTAAAGTTCACAGCTTGACATTTGGACAGATTAAGTATAAGACTGTTAACAACAGACCAACAATCAATACGAAACAAAAACTCATTCATTTCTATAGGATGTAAAGAGGAAGAGATAGGCATACATACAGTGAGATCATCCGCATATTTCGCAAAAGTGTTTTCTGTGGAAGATGGCAGATCATGCAGAAAAAAAGAGAAAAGAAGAGGTGAAAGGACAGCTCCTTGTAGTACACGTTCATGAGACAGTAGAGACTCTGAACGCTTTCCTCCAAATACATTGTACTGTTCCCTTTCAGAGAGGTAGGAATATAGCCAGTTGGTTATCCATCTGTCAGTGTTGACGCTGATTATTTACTCATTTCTTCAGTAATCTATCAGAATCATAATGTTTTATCATTGAAATGAAGAAATGCTGAACAACTATGAATCATTTCAATCCTGTATCGGATTCATTAACTGTAATGTGTTCCTTTATTAGATTTCTCAAAATCGATGGTAATTCCTAGAAATAATTAATTGTCGAAGAATTTTGATCGTCTAGTTGCAAGCACTTGTTCATCGTCTGTCAGCTGTTTTCCACGCACGACTTTGTAGTGCCATATGAATTCCAAATGATATTAAAGGTCTCAGGTACACCATAGTGTTGAAGAAGGTTTCACAAGGTATACCTATCCAATCTTTCATATACCTTCTCATAGTCAAGGAAGTTGATATATAGTGACGAGGTCCATTCAATTGATTGTTCAATGATGATCCGTAGTGTCGCGATTTGGTCTGTGCACTATCGATCCTTTCGGAATTCAGCCTTTTGAACTCGAAGTTGAATGTCTATTGAGTCTTTTGTGCGGTTCAACAACACTCTGTTGAAAATTTTCATGATACTAACATTAGTGTGATGCCTGTATAGTTTTCACACTTTCTCAGATTTCCTTTCTTTGATATCTTCATATGGTGTCCTTCTTCTCAGTCTGTCTGCGGCACTTGTTCTTCCTCCTAAATATTATTGAATATATTGTTTTCTATGGGATGAAGTTGCTAATCCTATGCCCAATCCTCCTCCTTTACGGGGGCTTAAGAGTGATAGTAACACTCGAACAGTTACAGGCGGTGTTATTTTTACAATTATTGATTAGATATTTGAGCAAATAGTAACAAACGTTTTAATCAGGTACAATTATCATTTAACATATCCTCGACATTTAAGAAATATAACATTGTATTGTGAAATACGCTAACTCAGAAATTTAATTTTTTCTCTTTTAAAAAGAAAAACACCAAAAGTCCAATGGGAAAATTCCAGTAAGTGTTTTTGGCAATATTTACTTATTGATATGCGAAATTCTTCATCTATTCAAAGGTCATTTATTCTTAGATTAGATTATAGAACATGAAGCTGTTGTAAGATATAAAACATTCATTTATTTACTTATGACAATATTAAAAGATAAATAATGAATTTGTAATCATGAATCAATTGAAGCTAGACCACCATGGAAAACCTGGATGCACTGAACGGCCGTTTTGTTCTAGTATGGGACTCCTCAGCAGTGTGCATTAACGATCCCGCACCCCGTGAGATTCGAAGCCAGGACGAAACGGCCGTCCAGTGCTTTCAGGTTTTCCATGGTGGTCTAGCTCCAATCGACTAAGGATTTTAACTATTGGAATTACTAAAATCTCCACAAAACTCCTTCTGATAGTCTATATTTGTAAGTGAAAGAATAGATCAATTTTATGCTATTAGCGATTGATTAAAACTTCCTATCGGTTCTCAACTGTTTTTGGTGGAGTTTTGTTCACTGAGCTGGATGGTTTGGTCGTGGAGCTTTCATCGTTCTTCTGAACGACATCATCAGCACAAACTTCAGATAGAAGTGAAGTGTTTGAATTTCTCCATATGTGTCTCAAAGCTTGTTCTGTGCACCTCGACGTTGATTGGTTCTTACTGACCTTAAATTTGTCGTTGTTTACTTCTTTGTTTTGGTTGTGTCTCCCATTGTTTTGATTTTTGTTCTTATGTTTGTGCATGATTTTTTTGATTGGTTGATAAATTGGATTGATTTCAATATGCTTGTTGATTGCTGATTGACCTGAGTGCCAGGCTTCTAAAAATTCTCTGGTGTTTTTGGAGTTTCTTCTGTCTAAGATTTCCACATTTTTCCAATCGAATGAGTGTCCGCAGTTGTCCACGTGTATTGATATAAGTGAAGAGATATCATGCCGTTTGACTGCTATCTGAAGTTTGTGCTGATGATGTCGTTCAGAAGAACGATGGAAGCTCCACGACCAAACCATCCAGCTCAGAGAACAAAACTCCACCAAAATCATCCACCTGAGCTACAAATCTTCTCCACCGTTCTCAACTGTTAGGATTTAAGGTTAGTACCATGGTTAAAGTTGTTTGAATAACTTTCTTCTGGTTAGCATTTTTTTGCGAGTTAATTTTTTACGGGACGAAGTCGCTAACCCAATGCCCAACGCTCTCTTTTATCCGGGCTTTGAGATGGTGGAGACAGACAGTAGTCCCAGAGGGGCTCCAGGCAAGCCTTCACATGGATCCTCAAGGTCAAAGGAAAAGCGGAAGACCAAAGAACACATTACACTAAGAAATGGAGACAGACATAAAAAAAATGAACGAGAATTGGATAGAACTGGAAAGGAAGGCTGGAGACAGATTGGGTTGGAGAATGCTGGTAGGCGGCCTATGATTCATTGGTTTGGGGAGAGGTGACGGGAGTAAGTAAGTCATGGTTAAAGGTTAGGATTTACTATTGATTTATATGTATACTAATCCACAGTACGAACATTAAACCATACATGAAATCACAATGCTAATCACAAATTTTAAAAATACTTCTATCGCTCATACCGTTTCTAACATGAATATTAACCTAACCTTAAATCCTTTTATTAGCTCTATTGAAGTAAAATATCAACTCATCTCATATTTCTTTCAACTCATTCACAGTTATTTCAGTTTTTCATTTGTATGTGTGTTTTCATAAATAGTCCGTTGTCCTGTAAATGCCTAATAATATTTTCTTCAATAAATTGGCCATTATACATTCCATCATCATCATCATCATCTCAGTTTAATGTGGCTCGATAAATGTTAAGTCAGAATGAAATATTTCCCATGACCTTAATATTGAGTTCCATATCTTTATCAGATCTATGTTATACTTTATATTTATCGATCTTTCACAAGGTAAGATATTATCATTTGGAAAAAGAAATACATGATAACTTCTTTATTGTACATTGAAAATTATTAAGAAATTTCCTGGGAATCAAGAAATTCCATACTATCTATGTTTCACTCCTGAGAGATCAAATCCTACTTTGAATTAGCTGATATGTATGTTCGACGTCTGATATGATGGAAAGAAAAGTCAATTTTCGATTGATTTACTCATTATAAGTTTTGGTTCAAGATTACTTCCGTTTTCATTCAATGTAATGATTACTCAATGTAGTATGTGTTTTATTTTCTCGTATGATATTTTGTTCTGTATAATATACGATATCCTTGTATTCGATTGGCATGAACTATGTTCAATGTGTGATTTGTTATACCTCTAATGGGTGTATAATCAATATATAAATGAGTGTATTTTCTACTAGAATCGTTGTCGTCGTGTTTTGGGGTTAATAAATCATCACTTAAACCAGTCTTTGTGTTCTTACTTTCGCGTTGTGGGAATTGGAGACGTCCCTCGTTCCGAGTATAAGTGATAAGCGTTTCCGATACAACCAATCAGCGACGACCATATACAAAATGTAGCATTCAAAGAGCCAAGACAATAAGCATTCAAACGACAAGTTATAACAACGTCAAACATAATCTTTAGTATAGCCGATTGTTATAATCAACAAATCAACCATAAGTCTTAAATGAAAATCCATTATTTGGTAAAAATAGACAAGTTAACCTCTTTATTACATCACAATCATGAGAAACTTTCAGTCAGACCTTAATCAATAAAACAAAAACCAGTTTCATAACCGTATGGTTTATGGAAAATGAAGCAATAATACTACAAAGCGTAAACAGCTTTTACATAATGAATCTGTTAACGTCTTTTACAGGTTACTCTGTCCGTAAATTGAAAATATAAGGTATAAATTCGACTATATTAGTATACCCTATTTGTCTTCTTGAACCTTATTCAATAAGATTTTTAAGATTCCATCTATTATTCATGGTGAAGGTTAAAGAGTGCGGATTAGAATTAAAGGTTTAAGGTTATATTTTGCAATCATGAAATAATATCAGGTATAACATAGAAATGTTTTATAGCCACATGAATGATTATCACGTAAAACCCCTATCATATTATCACTTACATAGTATAAGCTTAGGAATTCATAAAATGTCACGTAGAAATAATAATGAATTGCATTAAAACAATTTATAGTTGATAGATTAAAACTCCGCCTAGGGTCCCTCCGGGGGCGAATTCCGGTCCCAAGCCCGGATAAAGGAGGAGGATTGGGCATGGGGTTAGCGTCCCCATCCCGTAGAAAACGGACTCGCTAAAAAAACGCTAACCAGGAAAAAAATTATTCAAACCTTTTAAACTTTGCCCTGGGAGTCAGAAGGTCTTTATTTAGAAGAACTATGACGCCTTATGATGAAAGCCGAATCCCTTCGGAAGTTGCGAGGCCGATCCCTCTTCTGCCAACCAGAGCAACCATTTATTTAGGTATATAGGATGTTCGTACAATGTGGGACACCGGGAGAGCCTTCAAAATTGCTGCAGAAATGAGAAGGCGTAAGTAAGTAGGTAAGTTGATAGATTAAACATGATAAAGAAGATGCAAACTACAATATATTTTAAATGAAAGTAAATTGGAACATGAATCATCAGTATTCATTTCATCAGATTATCAGAAACATTTCGAAGATTTTTATGACATTTGAGGTAGCTTCTATCAGTCAGTTAATGTTGTTAAATCTGTTGTCAGTGATATCAAACTGAAGTTATTAATAACTTTACTACAACAACTACTACTACTAATGTGGTAGTTACTACTTATGTCGACATACGTAAGTAGTGTGTAGCAACAACCGGAAGAGAAGTGCTTGGAAGCAAAAGGCTATGAAGGTCAACTTGAATAAAGCGGAGATGGAAATAGAAAGGAATTGTGACTTGGAAGAATCACACAGAATGTGATTGGCAAATGATGGAATTTTTCAAATGAAG